TTTCTCAAGAAGCTCTCATGATTCTTTCCTTGTTTTTGATTTTGAAGAGTGTGGTCATGGTATGACTTGATGATTTTTTTTCTGGGATCTATCCTGTTAGTTGGGGTCCTGGTGTGGCGCTGTGGGCTAATGCGTCAGACTGCAAAGTAGTTTGAACTGCAAGGTCGGTGGTTCAAGCTCACCAGCTGCTCCTTGGAAACCCAATATGGGGTCGCTATGGGTCAGAATCGACTTGATGGCACTTAACAACAACGACAACTTCCTGTTAGGTGCTCCTTGGAGGCGAGGATGGCCAAACTTTGTCTCTCATACTTTGGACATGTTGTCAGGAGGGACCAGTCACTGGAGAAAGCTATCATGTTTGGTAGGGTGGAGGGTCAGAGAAAAAGAGGAAGACCCCCCCAGTGAGATGGATTGGCAAAGCGGCAGCATCAATGAGCTCAAGTGTGGCAACAATTGTGAGGTTGGCCAGGACTGGGCTGTGCTTCATTCTGTTGTACATGGAGTTGCTATGAGTCGGTACCAACTCGATGGCACCTAACAACAACAACAAATCCTGTTAGGGATTCGTTCAGCATCTTGAATGTTTATCTTCTTCATGATATTAGGGAAGTTGTTTTCTCAACAACTCTTTGACTATTTTTTCAATGCTTTTCCTTTTTCTGATTAAGTTATTCTTCTTAATGGGTGATTATAACAGGAACCTTAGATTTTTCTTTGAAGTTTTTCATTCTCTCTCTCTTTTTTTTTTTTCCTGATTATTTTTCAAGCTTGCTAGAAATCTATCTTCAAGCTCACTAATTTGGGCTTCCATTTATTCAAATCTACACCTTTGCTCTTCCAATGTAGTGTCATTTCTGAAATCTTAGTACTAATCTTGTGGATTTCTATGTCCAGGTTTTGTTTTGTCTCCAACACTTTATCTATTTTGTTTGTTTGTTTCTGTAGTGTTTCCCTGAATTCCTCCCTGTTTTCCATGACCCTTCTGTCAATCATTTGGAGGTACTTAAATATCATTCTTTTGAATTCTTTTTTAGTATTTTCAACACCATTTTTTCCTCAAAAAATTTTTATAGCTCTGCCTCTTGATCAGTTGTTTGTCTTGCTCTGTTTTGTCTCTTCATGTGAACAGAAATTATTTATTGCTTCTGAGACATTGTGGTGCTGTTATATTTGTACTAATTGATGATTGTATGTTGGTGTATTCCTAGGTATTCACCAACTGCCTCCTGGCGGGTGTGATAAGGCAATGAATGGTGTGTACTATCCTTTGTTCGTGCAGCTCAGTTTATGATGGGCTTGGCTGACATTAGTGTTATCCTTGATCAGGCATTGACTCTTGCTTAGTGGGTAGGTTTTTAGAGGGTAGGGTTGTATCTGGGTTGTCTGGCTATGGTTGCTGTCCCCTATCAGGTGAGGCAAGAAGAGAAAACACACACAAGAAAGAAAGAAAATAAACAAATAAGCAAACATCGTAGAAAAAAGAAAAAAGAAACAGGCAGTAGCTAGAAAAAAATTATGAAAACCAAAAAGAAATAAAGGGAAAACTTTTTTAAATCATGGAAGAAAGAAGTAAAAGACAAAATGAAAAGAAAGAAAAATTACTAAACACAATTAGGGAGAAGGCTAAGTAAAAGGGGAAGGACTCAGATAGTAGTAAAGCAAAACCAAGAGAAAAAAGAAAGAAACAACAGTGGTTGGGAAAGTAAAGCAGGTGTCTGATTCAGAGAGGAGAAAATTCTGGGTCTTCAGCCTGCCAAGGACCTCACATGGTGGATGAGCAAGGGATGCTTCAACTCTAGATGGAGTTACTGTGGAGCTAGATGTTGTCTGTTCTGGGCACCCAATCCAAAAATAGTTTGTGTAGGACCCAAAACAACTGGGGGATAAGGGTATTTCCATCCCAGAGGGCAGCTGAGGGTGAGAGGTCCTGCTAGTGCAGGGCTTTCCAGAATTAACTCTGCAGGTCTGGAGCAGGCCACACCTGATCTCAGGTGCCAAGGTAGGTGCCGCTGACTTTGATGTGACTCTGATAACCCGGAGAGCAAGAACTTTCCTAGGAGCGTATGTGGGTGGGAGCTGGCCATGCTTCTTATCACTAATGTTGAGTACAAGAAAAAATTTTGTACCTTTCTCTCTACCAATAGAATGGTATGTGTCTATGCCACCTACCACCTTCTTGCCTTTAAAATGACCTGCAAAAGTTCAAGGTGGCTGTGTTGTGCCTGGTCGACTGGCACAAGTCCCTTGTTTCTTTAGTTTCCCCCCCTACATTTTTGTTCAATTATTTCTCCTAGTTACGGCTAGTCTGGACTGGCTAAAGCCAGACCTGTGAATTTGGAGCATGGTTCCTCTGAATCCAGGCACCAGGGTTGATGTAAATAACTCCCCACTCACTTTGATGGGCTCACAAGTGCAGTGCTCTCTCTGGTTCTGACTGCTAGAGAAATTGGAACTTCGCTGAGGGTGATATGGGTGAGGGTTGGCCATGTCAGGAGATGGCCATGTCTTTGGTTACTAGGGGAGTGTGAGAAACAAGAAAAAAGTCACAACTTTATCATGCTGTGTGTGGTCCGGCAACACAGATCAACAGTCGGTCTCTTACTTTTGCCATGTCTGCTTAAGCTCTTTCTCTGAGTAAACATTCAGTCCACGTCTCTATCCCAGATTTCCCTAATCAAACGTTGTTTGATTTCTTGATTGCTGCTTCTATGAGCATTGATTGTGGATCCAAGCAAAAGGAAGTTTGGGACTTCAATCTTTTCTCCCTTTATCATGGGGTTATGCATTGGTCCAGTTATGAGGACTTTTGGTTTCTTTACATTGAAGTGTAATACATACTGAAGCCTGTAGTCTTTGATCTGCTTCAGTAAGTATGTCAAGTCCTCTTCACTTCCTGAAAGCAAGGTTGTATTACCTGCATCCTTCCTCTAATCCTGATGCCACTTCTTCATTTTACAATCCAGCTTCTTGGATTACTTGTTCAATATACAAATTGTATATATGTATGGTGAAAGAATACAACCCTGGTGCACAACTTTCCTGAGTTTGAACCATTCAGTATTTCCTTGTTTTGTTTGAACAAATGCCTCTTGGTCTATTACAGGTTCCTTATGAGCATGATTAAGGGTTCTAGAATATTTATTCTTTCAGCTGTTTCTTCACATTTTGAGTTATTCCACATAAGCAAATGAAGGTCCCAAAAGCTTTATTATTAAATAATAATTAATAATAATTATTAAGGTCTACTTATTATTGACCTTATTTCATTATTAAGGTCAACTCTACTTTGAGGAGGCAGCTCTTCTCCTGTGGTATTTTTAGTGTCTTCCAACCTGAGGGGCTCATCTTCAAGCACTGCATTTGACAATGTCTCATTGCCGTTCATAAGGTTTTCAGTGACTAGTGGTCCGCCTGTCCTTTTCCTAGTCTGTCTTAGTCTGGAAGCTCCCCTGAAACCTTTCTACCATGGGTGACCCTGCTGGTATTTAAAATACTGTTGACATAGCTTGCAGCATCACAGTAACATATAAGCCACCACAGTAGGACAAACTGACAAACAAGTGGTGGATTCTGATATGTAGGGCCCCTACAGAGGATTTCTGAGACTATGAATCTTTAATGGGAGCAGACAGCTTCATCTTTCTCCTCAGGAGCTGTTGGTGTATTTGAACCACTAACCTTTTTGTCAGTACTATCAGGGTTCTTTCTTTGAGACATGTTATTGTTGCTGTTAATTATTTTCAAGTATAGGGTTTCCAGCGTAGTGGTTACGAATCGGGCTGCGAACCTTAAGGTCAGAGGTTCGAAACTACCAGCCGCTCCGCGGGAGAAAGATGAGGCTTTCTACTCCCTTAAAGATTTACACCCTCGGAAACCCTGTACAGGGTCTCTATGGGTCGGAACTGACTCAACGGCACGTAGCAACAACAACAACAACAACAACATAGGGTTTCCAAGGAGAGGCTGTTGGGTTTGGACCGTGGACCTAGTGGTTAGCAGCTCAGTGCTTATCCTACAGGTCACAACCAGGACATAACACCTATTTATCTCTTGAGCTTCTCTAGAGTCTCTAACCCCTCTTACCCAAACCCACTTTCCAAGCCTTCTGAACCATTTTCAGCTCTTTCAACCCACTTACTATCTAGTGCTGTTGTAACAGAAATACCACAAGTGGATGACTTTAAGAAACAAATATATTCTCTCATGGTTTAGGAGGCTAGATGTCTGAATTCAGAAAGCTGGCTCTGGAAGAAGGCCCTTGTCTCTTTTCAGCATCTGTAGGCCCAGTATTCCTTGGAGATGTCTATGTGTTTTAGCATCAATCTTTCCCTGCACTGTATGATGAGCAGTCCCAGGGCAAAGGCTTGCTTCTTCTGATGTTCTTCCAAGGGATCGTTTTTTCTGGAGTGGGAAGAGTGAAGAGAAAAGGGAGTTAGAAGTACAGGGATAATGGACGGAATGTGTCAACTGGCTCTGATCTTTGCATGCATTGTCCTCATAATTCCCTTTGCTTTCCATTAGCACTGAAATTTGCATTCATTTCATTCCACTAGTCTTCTGAGAGCTCCTAGGCATTAAGGACTAGGACAAAGGTCCCAGTTCAGTGAGAGGGCAGGCACAGGAGTTTGAATATCAATACTCAGAGGTGTCTTTTTTTTTTTAATCCTAATGGCAGGACAAGCAGGCACACCCACTGCCTGCACCGCGCTGGACTGAGGGGGCGCTGAGGAGTGCGTCCTGGAGTGCCCTCTGCAGGAATGCACTCCAATTCTCCCAACGGGTCTCAGAGGCAACAGATAACCGGAAGTGGAACCCTGTGCGGGCCTGTTGCTTAGCAACGAACCCTGCCAGGACGCTGGACAGTCTTGGCCCCGAGGAAGAATAGCCAGAGCTGTGGTAGATCCTGTGGCCCCTCTCTTTCTTCTGACAGAAGCGACCCAGACAGGACAGGAGCGATCCAGAAGCCGCCCAGTGCCAGCCAACGCACCCTCGCAGCCATGAGCACCGAGCAGGTAAGAGGGCTCCTCGTCCAGCCTGTTGCCACGACGTTTCCCCCGCCCTCGGGCTCCGCAGATGTGTCCCCGCGGAGTACAGCTCCCTTCACCTCTCCTATCACCTGGGATTTGAAGCGCCAATACTGTTTTATGTTTTCTTACCAACTGTTCACCATTGGTATTGTCTTAACAGGCAAGCATTTCTGTCTAGGGGTGTGCTAACGGTTTAAACTACAACCCTTGACTGTCCCCTACGTGGAATGGGCGGTGGCCTAACAGGCAGTGGTAATGGATTTGAACTCTGGGGTTGCTATCTAAGCCAATTCTCTAGCCGTACTGTTTTGACTTTGGCCAAATGATTTATTCTAAGTTCGAATTTTCCCCATTTATGCAGAGGAGAAATCAGAACAACTTTTCTTTTTCCTAAGGTTGTCATAGCTGTGTTTAAGTCCATCTTTGCAGCCACTGTGGTCCATCTCTTTGAGGGTCTTCCTCTTTTTCTCTGATCTTCTACGTGACCAAGTGTGATGCCCTTCCCTAGAGACTGCTCCCCTACTCATAACATGTCCAAAATACTTAAGACCAAGTCTCCCCATCCTCATTTCTAAGAATCACTCTAGTTGTACCGCTTCCAAGATCTGTTCATTCTTCTTGCAGACCATGGTGTATTCAAATGCATCAGTTCTTCTTTAGTCTTCCATATTCACTGTCCAACATTTTTTGCATGTGTGTGAGATGATTGAAAATACCATGGCTAGGATTAGTCCTCAAGGTGACCTCTTTGCTTTTGAACACTTTAAAAAGGTCCTTTGCTGCACATTTCCCCAATGCAAGACATTGGTTGATTCCACGGATGTTAATTGTTGACCCAAGTAAAATGGGATTCTTAACATCTTCGATATTTTCTCTTCCTAACATGATTATTGGCTCAGTTGTGAGGATTTTTATTTTCTTTGTGTTCAGGTGAAATCTATACTGAAGTCTTTGATCTTGAAGTAAGTGCTTTAAATTCTTTTGACTTTCAGTAAGCAAGGTGGTGTCATTTGCGTATCATAGGTTATTAATGAATCTTCCTCCAATCCTGATGCTGTGTTCTTCTTCATATAGTCCACGTTCTTGGATTATTTGCTAAATATACAGATTTATCAAAGGATACAATGCTAACACACAGCTTTCCTGATTTTCAACCTTGCAGTATCTCCTCATTTTGTTTGAACGACTGTCTTTTGGTCTGTGTACATGATCTGCACAATTAAGTGTTCTGGAATTGTCATTCTTCGTATAGTGTTATCCATAGTTTGTTATGATCTATGCACTGAAGAGCTATTATTTCACAAAACACATAATTTATTAATCTATAATTAAATTTTGTTGTTGTTAAATGATGTGGAGTAGGTTCTGACTCATAGTGACCCTGTCTAGGGTTTCTCAGGAGCAACTTGTGAGCTTGAAATAGCATCCATTAAAAATCTAATGATACTTGAGTTTTAAGTTTTACTTCATCTTTATAAAGTGATGTTGGGAAATAATATCCTACATCCCCCAAATAGGATGTGTTATTGAGACAGTGGATGTTGAAGAAATGGGAATTAGATCATCTAGGAATTTTTTCATTCATTACATACTCTTTTTAAACAGCAGGGGGCCCTCTTTCATTGTTTTGGTTGATTTGAAATTTTAATATACTTTCATATGCTAATTTAGAGTGTAGTTTCTTTTTCTCCTCTTAAAAAGGATGCAAGTTTTTATATTTTAACCTAAAACAAACAGAATGGATTGAACTTTTGGAAATGCCATTTTTCCTTGACATTTACTTATATATTCATTCAGTTTGAAAAAGTGAACAAGTGGTAAAATCATATTTGCTAAAAGATTTCTTAACATATTCATCTTATGAGTGGAAGGTTGAGAGTAACATGACATTTTCCAGGAAAGCAGTATGGTGTCTGGACTCATAAGTTAGATTTTAAAAGAAGGATAAACGTTTTGCAACTGCTCATTTCATTTTAAAACTTAGTTAAAACTAGGAAAATAAGGCATTTGGTTTTCAGTTGAAGAATTTTCAGGGGTTTAAAGATATAAATATCCAACAACAAGGAGGAGAGGTCTCCACAAATCCAGTGCAGGGAAGAGGAAGAATATATGAGCCTGTGTCTACCCCAGCACCTTCTCCACTTATAGAATCAAGTACTTTGGCATTGATAGGATGCGCTTTTTCTTTTCCTTCACACATCTTTTTGATGCCATTGTTTCTGAACAGATCAGGTGAATATGAAGTCAACAACATGGCAATAACTGTAACAACCATCACTTAAACATGTGAAAAAAACCAAAAAAGCCTAACACATTTCTGATGAGTAAGTTCTAACTCATAATGGCCTATAGGACAAAGTAGAATGTCGTCTCCATATGATTTCCAAGGCTATAATCTTTATAGTGCTGGTATGGTGCTGTGGGTTAATGCGCTGGACTACAAGATATGTTTGAACCACAAGGTCAGTGCTTCAAGTTTACCAGCTGCTCCTCAGAAACTCTATACAGGGTCACTATGGGTCAGAGTTGACTCAATAGTGCTTAACAATAACAGCAACAACAACAGTCTTTACAGAAGCCAGCTGTCACATCTTTCTTCCTTGGAGTGGCTGGTGGGTTCAAACTCCCCATCTTCTAGTTAGCAGATGAGCTGGGCTCTAAACATGCGACTACTATAGTAAATCAACCTTATTAAACTTTGAGAGTTTTTTTTTTTTTTAATTTAACAGACATTTTCATAGATTCTGGTAATTTGACCAGAACTCCATAGATTGGTTAACACTTGGATTATACCAACTTTACAAGATCCCTTCCCAAAGAGAAGTAGATGGAAATCAGCAAGATAAAAATGAAATGCAAAGTCAGAATACTTCAGGAAGACCTAGGCTCTTTATCAGAGCATTTGCATTTTGTTAATGTAAAATTGATGGCAACAGAAAACAAATGGCATGCTCAAAAGAATTTAATTGAAGAAAATTTGTAAAGAGATTATTTTCAGAGGTGTGGGCAAAGTTAAGGGAAACAACAGGGTGGTGAGACGCCCAAAGAGTAGCAGCAATAGGAAACCGTTACCATTCTGAGGTCTGATGGGCAGTTACGGAGCACTCTTCTCAGAACCTGGGGAGAGCTGGCAGCATGGAAGAGCCGCTTCCTGAGAAGAGCTGAGCTGTGGAGGAATTTGTCTACTACCAGAACTGAAGTGCACAGGGAGTAGCTTGGAAATAAATAATGTTTCTCAGCTCTACCTCTTTAGTCTCTTTCTGGTGCCACTCACTGGCTAATTCCTACGAGATACAGAGGCCTGTGAGCCCAGATGATGCCCTGACTTCACATTCAGCTTTTCAGGCACTGGGCAGGGAGAGAAGGGTGGAGACTTGATCTGAAGAACAGACGACAGTTAGCACAGAAATGATTATAAATAGATGCAGCCTATAGAGATAATTCCCACTTGGTAACCAGTAGAATTGCTGATGATACTTAATCCTAAATATTCTATTTTTTTATGCTATTGTAAATGCAGTTTTTCTAAAATTTCATTTTGTTCATTCCTGGGCTTAATGGCATCTAACAACAAGCTTTAGAAATCCAATTGATTTTCCTGCATTGATCTGTGTTGTACAACCTGGCTGTACAAGTTTAGTGGCACTATTGATTTTTGTGTGTGTGGGTTCCTTAAGTTAAGTGCAGTTGAGTTGGTACTGACCTCGTATAGGGTTTCCAACGAGTGGCTTTTGGGTTTGAACTGCCAACCTTGTAGTTCAGATCTAGCGCTTTATCCTATAGTGCCATACTAGGACTCCGCGGATTCCTTAGGATTTTCTAAATACTGGATCATTGTAATCTGTGTGATGCTGTAGGATAAGCACTGGACTGCTAACGGTTAGCCACAGGTCGGCAGTTTAAATCCATCAGATGCTCCTCAGAAACCCTATACAGGGTCACTGTGACTCAAAATTGACTGGATGGAACTTAACAATAACAACACTATATAGTATACTTTACTGTTATTGTTAGGTACTGTCAAGTTGGTTCTGACCTTTTGTGTAATTGAAACTGCCTGGTCCTTTGCTACCCTCACAGTTGTAGCTGAGTTTGAGCCCATTGTTCAGACATTGAGTCAATCCATCTCATTGAGGACCATCCTTGTTTTTCACTGACACACTACGAAGCATAACATTGTTCTCCATGGACTGGCCTTTCCTGATAACGTGTCCAAAGGATGTGAGATGAACTCTCAGCATCTTTGCTTCTAAGGAGCACTCTGACTGCACTTCTTCCATACACATTTGTTTGTTCTTTTGACAATCCACGGAATATTTAATATTCTTCTTCAACACCATAATTCAAAGGCATCAATTCTTCTCCCGTTTCTTATTCATTGTCCAGCTTCCACATGCATATATAAGGCGATTGAAAATACTATGGCTTAGGTGAGGTGCACCTTAGTCCTCAAAGTGACATCTTTGCTTTTGAACACTTTAAAGAGGTCTTTTGCAATAGATGTGTCCAATGTAATATGTTGTTTGATTTCTTGACTGCTGCTTTTATGGGTGTTGATTGTGGATCCAAGAAAAATGGAATCCTTGACAACTTCAATATTTTCAGTTTGTCATGATGTTGCTAAATTGGTCCAGTTGTGAGAATTTTTGTTTTATGTTGAGTGTAATCCATACTGAAGGCTTTGATTTTCATCAATAAATGCTTCCAGTCCTCTTCACTTTCAGCAAAGAAGGTAGTCTTATCTGCATAGCACAGGTTGTTTATGAGCTTTCCTCTACTCCTGATGCCATGTTCTTCATATAGTCCAACTTCTTGGGTCATTTGCTCAGCCTACGAATAGAATAAATATGGTAAAAGGATACAACCCTGGTACACACCTTTCCTGATTTTAAACCACTCAGCATCCCCTTTTTCTGTTCAAACAGCTGCCTCATGGTCTATGTACAGGTTCGCATAAACACAGTTAAGTTTTTTGGAATTCCTGTTCTTTGCAATGTTATCCACAATTTGGTATGATCCACATAGTAAAATATCTTTGCATAGTCTATAAAATACAGGCAAACATATTTCTGATAGTATCTATTTTTAGCCATGTTTCTATTGACATAAGCAGTAACATACTGTGCGCTATGTTCTCTTCTGAATCAACTTGAATTTCTGGAAGTTCCCTGTTAATTTACTGCTCTCCCCACTTCTTAATTATCGTCAGAAAAGCTTTTCTTGCATGTGATGTTAATGATATTATTTGATATTGTCTGATTTCTGTTGGATCACCTTTCTTTGGAATATGCACAAATATGGATCTCCTTCTGTCTCTGGTAGCGTAGTGGTTACGAATCAGGCTGTGAACCGCAAGGTCAGCAGTTCGAAACCACCAGTTGTTCCATGGGAGAAAGATGAGGCTTTCTACTCCCATAAAGATTTACAGCCTTGGAAACCCTGTACAAGGTCGCTATGAGTCGGAACCGACTCCGCAGCACATAATCAACATCAATCAAATCTGTCTTTACAGTTGGTAAGTCCATCGAGTCAGTTCTGACTCACAGTGACCCTTTCTAGGGTTTCCTTAAATCTTTGCAGGGGCAGAAAGCCTCATCTTTCTACTATGGAGAGGCTGGTGGCTCGAATTGCAGAACTTGTGGTTCTCAGTCCAGTGCTTATCATGTGGAACCACTGTAAAACATGGGAAAGTAAAGTAGTTTTGACATTTCCAGACTAAGCAGTTTGGTTTATTATTATTATTATTATTTTTAATGCAGGGTAAATCTGCTGGCAAAGAAAAATCCAAGACACCAGTGAGATTTTTACCACATTTGTCTATGGTAAATTACACTCTCATACTTTTTCTCTTCTTTGTGTGTATTAGTTTTTAAAGTTTAAAACAAGTTACTAATTTCCTTATTTTGGAGTCTGTACTCTATTTGATTCTTTTCTGATGGCAAAATTCTATGAGGTATATATTTAGGAAAAAAAATAACCAATCTTAATAAATAAACTAACCATAAATTATAATTTCCTAGTATGTACAGAATATTTGAGTAATCTGATGATAAATTGCCAAAATAGACTA